TGTCCCTGGTCACTGAAATACTTTGTTATTGCACCAAGTAAAATTTGAGATTTCTGTGCTATTATTCTAAGTGATATTTTACTTGTATCTTTTCCTGTGATGATTTAAAAAAGAAAAACGCAGTAGTAGGAAAAATTGACTATACTGTTTAGTATTTGCTTTCTTCATTTAATTTGGTAAGCACAAGCTAAACTAACAATAGTTGTTTTAGTTCCATTTTTTTGTTGTTTTTGCAGAGTTTTGGGAGTTGCCTCTAGATGTTTTTTTCTTTGCCTTTTCACAGAAGTCTTGACTCCTGATTCATGCAGTGGCTTTCTGCTTCCCTTTTCTAGCATGTTACTTTTTCTGAAACAGAGGCAGTATATCACATTTTCCCAAACACTCTTCAGATGACACAAATAAGTTTGTTTAGAAAGTAGTGTTTCCAGCTGCTTTAAAACTGGTGAAAAATGGTTCCTGTCACAAAAGGACCTTATTGACTCAACAGTAAAAAAACCCAGCCCAATCTTTTTTGGATGTTGGTTAAGCATACTTGGTGCAGTGTTCTTATTTCAGCTGCTAATGTGGCTCACACTGGATGACTGAGTTATGTTTATGACAAATCTCTTCACTGTGCATGATTTGGAACCAGCTGTTCATTATTCTTTGGCATTCACTGCCTTATTATTGAAGATTACACTTCACAAAACTATAGAATTAAATTTCATATACTTGAATATTGGAATAATTATTGCATGTTACCTGGAACAAAATGCTTTGCAGATTTCTCTCAGATCCCCCCCAAGAAGTAGATTTTAAGAACAGGTTTTTTTCTTTGCTGTAAACTGTTCTACTGTCCACAACACAGCAAAACATAAATTTTATCTAAATTTATGGGCTATGGAAGGCATTATTTTCTGAAGTCACTACATAGTACTTGAATCAGACACCAGAGGCTATTGCTGAGATGAGACGGAGTATTTTGACCAGTCTGATTAGAAATGTAAATGTATTTGAGTGCTAATGGTATGAGGATAGTAGTACTTCAGTATCTTTTTCTTACCTTCTAGAACTGTGCAGCTGTGCTTCAGTAATAAACAACCTGAGCCAAGTTAGCTTTTATGACACATTGGTTAAAGAATGGCAGATGTGTTTTGAGTTTGGGCTGTTAGGGAATGGTGACTTAAACATTCAGTGACAAGTTTTGGGCCTACGCTTTTGTTACCAGGAGAGTTTCTGAAAGCAGTGGAATCATGTTCAGAGCTGTAGTGTTTACCTCAATAAGCTTACTTCTGATAGCTGTATTAATGCTGGGAGTACAACAGCTGTTTTATCAGTGTTAATGAACAGTGGTTGATACGTTGTGTGATGTGTATGTAGAAGGCTTGTGAGCAGACAAATAGGTTCTTTATGTCTGTCAGTATAATTAAAGCAGTTTCTTGTAAATGCTTGTATGGGTACATACTGCTGACTTTCATTCTATTCAAATACTTCTAATTTTTTTTAAAATTTAAAAGTAGTCCTATGTTTCTGAAAGGCAGAAGTGTTCTTCTAAAGTAAATTGCTGATCAGTGTTACCTGTGTGCCTTAGTGGCTCCTCAGTCTTTGTAAAGGCAGGTCTTGTTTGATGTCAAGATGCAAGGATGTATCAAGAAAATTTCTAAAGAAGTCTCTTATGTATTTTTATTAATAACTTCAGTCATGAAATAGAATGTATGCTTATTAAATGTGTAGATAGTATGAATCTGAATAGAGGTTGCAAGTGCTTTGGGGGACACAGAATGCGGAAATGTCTCTGACTGCTGGGGATAGCTTAGGTAATGGACCTGAATAGCAGGAAAAAAGGCTTAGGTCAGACCTGGTAGAAGGAACTTTTCTAGTGATGGGACGTGTTGCAGAATAACATGGTAGTCTGTTGTTGGTCTAACTTAAGTTGGAAAGCAAGCAAGGAACAAACTGGTGTTTGGCAACCAAGCTGATCACGAAGGGTTTGAGCGTCCTGGCTGTGGCAGCAGAGTGGTGTTGCTGACATCCTATTCTCACTTTCTGTGGTCTGTTTTCAATTTACCAAAAATACGTTCCTGGGAATGAAGAGTATTCTAGAGCTATCAAATATCTGCCAGATCATCAAAACAGAGCTCATGCTTGTAATAAAAATGTTTTTATATTAAAATACATTCTAGGACAAATTTGTTGGCAATATCAGAAAGCTGGCATCTGTAAGGGTATTTATGAAGCCTGGTAAAACATGGATTGGCAACTTAAAGCTGGGTAGGCTATGTACTCTAAAATATAGTTTTAAAAAAAGATGTTAATATGTTTGGCCTTTCCTGATCTGCTGTTTGTTTCCTAATTTAGTTATGGCTAGGGTGTTTGTGCCTATTAGAAGCTAGTAAGGTTTAATAATGAAAACACTCAGTTTTCCCATGTCTAATTGTCAGACCAATAATATGTGCACTCAGATGAGAGAAAGCATTTTCTTGACTTCGGTGGTGTGGAGGTCAGTATTCTCAATAGTTGCTTTTCTTGGTAGTCTTTAACTGTAAACCTGTGAAATTGGTCAGGTAGTGTTCTAAAAACATATCTGTGCTTTTGTTACTGCTGTTCTTTTATCAAAACCAGCTGGAAGAATTAGGCCTGAAAGAGGTTTTCTTTTATGGGCTTATTGAAATTTACAGATATTCTGCTCCTGACTTTGCATTCTGAGTATTGTGTAGTCTTTACCACTTCACTATACTGCTTTATAGGAAAGGGATTGACTCATCTGACAGGGCAGTGCTATCAAAAACATTTTTAGAGCTTTTGGTTGAAGAACTGAGAACATGAGGGAGACTTGAATCTGCTTCTAGAATAATTTTTGCAGGAAGAAATACACACCCAGTATCAGTGAGCTGTGGACAAAGCTCTGTTAAAAACACCTTTCCAGTCCTCGGATACTTGGTGATCACCAAATCTCACCTGAGCCCTTGATTTGTGTGCAAAAGGTAGGGATGTGTGAGTTAAGAATAAACTCTTTTCATGGCAGTTGGATAAATAGTAGTGCTCGGAAGCTTTACTAGTTTTCTGAAAACAGTAGGATAAATTTATGAAGAAATCACATTGTTAGTGCCTTTGTCCCATACCTAATAGCCGATTCACCAATGACTTAGTAATATTTCTTGGATCATTTGTTATGTTCTTACTTGGTATAAGCCTAATCTCTCCTTTTGTTTTTCAGACTGTAAGGTGCCTTGGTCTGAAGATTCTGTTGTTGTTGTGCTGATCTTCCAGTATTGATACCTGTCTTGATCCTTTCTAAACATTTCATTATTCTCCTGCTTGGAGATGAGAACTGTATCTGAGGGAAGGAGAACAAAAATTTTCTTGCTGCGGTTAGCTCACATTTAATTTGTTGTTTCTTAATTTAGCATCTCTTGTATTGGTTCATCTGTAAACATATACCCTTTTCTGTTTCTGTACCATTGCTGAACATGACTAATCAGTAAAAGTGCATTTGGTTCCTGTTAGAAAGAGAAGCCATTTTTGCAATGGTTCTGTCACTCTAGGACTTCCTTTATTTGTTTTTTATAAGTCTGACATAATTGGATTCTTTAGAAAATTTCTCTGGAATTTTTTTTGAGGTTAATTTAGAACAGAGTGTTGGATGACTTCAGCAGAGCAATTTATAACAAGTTTTTTGGGTGAAATAAACCTTTAAACTTGTCTCTATTTAGTGATAGTAGATTTGTGTGTATTGCCTTAAAGTTTAACTCTGGTATTGGATGTACCTAAAAACCTAAGTAGAAGCTCACGGCATAAAAAAAAGAACCAGCAGCTCAACTAAGTGCAGTTTAACACATGCAAATCTGTTGGACATCCTTTTAGAAGCTGGAACATTCTTGTCTGTCACTGGAAGTCTGCAGTAGACTGGTTCAGGCCAGAATACAACAATAATTATCAGTTACCAAGTTCAGATTCCACAGCTCTTACTAATACTTACTCATGTTAACAGCAGCCTTACATTAAAGTAAGCTACATCTATGCTCACTGACTAACAGATCTGCACTCTGTTGTGCAGAGATGTGGAATACACATTTATTTGGGTCTCCCTGTGAAATTCATGTGGGTGTTTATTATGTTTTCACAAGCTGAATTTCTAATAGTGTGTATATCATACTTAAAATATTTTTGAGTCATTGACAATTTTGCAGGGTCTAGCTGCAGAGCATGATTCAGATACCGCTATAATTCGGGCAGTGTTTCATCCATTTCTTTCCTTTCTGTGCTTTCAGTTCAGCTTTAGGTAATATAGTTCACATTATCTTGCATTCTCTTGCTTATTGAGAGATGTTTTCCTACCTGTGGAGAGAGTGTGGGGTAGAAAAAGTATTCTTGGGTTTTAAGCCATTACTTTCTCTGGCCCATTTCCAAACTAGAGAATCTTACTGGGTTTTGACACTATTTCTGGACATGTAGACTCTGTTTCCATTCAATCTAGAGATAGTATGGGGTTTGTGGTGGCCCTAAGCATTTAGTTTTTTTGTAAGGAACCTTAATATGGCCTCTGAGATTAACTTTTGGGGACTAATTAAAAAGATAAGTTTCTTCTAGGAAGCTAATGAAACAGCTCCTGAAATCCATTCTAGATAGTACCAGAAAGTACTTCAACAAGCTAATTTTGCTGCAGCTTTCTGGATCAGGCCTTACACAAGATGCTTCGTCCCATTTATAAGATCAAATAAAGGGAACAATGTTACAGTTGTATTTTCATGATACCTGTGATATATTTGATTAGTATGACACTTGGTAATAAAAGCACAAATGTGATGCTATAAATAGATGAGGACAGTTAGATTCTAAACCAGATCTGTGTGAGAAAATAATACCAGAAAAAAGAAGGGAAATAATGATCAAAGCACCACAGTGTGATCCTCTTGTAACATAAGCATCTGAAAAGTACTCATGTCTTGTTTTTCCAATTACAGGGACTTGCCATGAGGTGCTGAAGCCTTGTTTCATTGATTTGGAGAGACTGGACCTAAATGGCGCAGCATGACTTTGCTCCAGCCTGGCTTAATTTTCCTACTCCACCATCATCAACAAAAGTATGTTCTTTGTTGTTCTTTTGAACAGGCATTTATACTTCTCATTATTAGAGAAGTATAAATGTCATAACCTCAATCATAATAAAAATGCAAATCTGTATTAATAGGGTGATAACAGAAGCTATCTAGCAAGTCTTGTCATGATTTAAGTAGTTGTACCATGGTACAGTAGAGTTTTTTGCTTGAGCAGCTGAGTCATGGAAAGAAGCATGAACCTGGCCACGTTATCAGAGCTGTTGTTGGATTAAGATTGCCTTCATCAAGAGTTTAAAAAGAATGATTGTATTTTGTGCTAGAAGTATCAAGAGAGGTGTGTACTTGATGTTCTTGCTTCTGATTTTGCTCTGTGTCCTATACATTTTACAGAAGTGTTAATCTATCATCCAGGTGATTAAAAAAATGCTTTTGAAATAGGCTTTCTGAAATGGCTCTTCAGTTGCTGGTGGGATGCTTGTTACTGCTGGCGGAGTGTGGCACTTTCAGATAGTTGTGCATCTGCACTCTGGTTGTTTCATCTAGACTACTATTACTTTATACAATGGGGCAGCTTGGAAACAGGAAATAGCAATCTCTGAATCGTTAGGATTTGTAAGTATTCTAGGAAGTCATGAGTATGTCTGTCATAAATGTTTCCTTTTTTCTGGCCTGTCCTCCTTCTCTTTCTTAACTTGTGTGAATGCAGAAGCAGGGGCAGCACGGATATTCAAACTCCTGTCATCTATTTCCCTATTTGTAGACCTGTCTTTTTAATTATAATCTTTTGAATGCAACATATCTGCAGCTATGAGAGTGGCATTGCCTTACTTTAATGTATTTATGGAAGTTTCTTGCTGTCTTTCATGTCCATCGAAAATGTTTAGCCTTTTATAAACTTACGGCAATAGGCTTGCGCTATTGTTAAATGCACAGTTAGCTGTCAGTATTAGTTGTGTTCCCATTCCTTTGGTTATATATGCATGCATTTTTTTAGTCAGGTTGTTGAATGTCCTTATTCATATTGCTCTATTTATCTTTCTTCTACACGGACCCAGCTAGCTTCTTTGTTTAGCATAGTCTATCAGCAACTCTCAGTTGCTGTTCTGGGAACATGAGGCCTGTCTGTTCCAGGATGGTTCTTGCGATCTGGTTTTTTTCATTCTACTTGACTTCTGATACATTCAACTCTTTTGATCTGCTTTTTCCAATTTAATACATTTTCAATTGGAAAAGCAATCAGAACTTAGTTTAATATGGTGTCACAATTATGAAACAGTCTCACCACTTATTTCAAGAATCTGCTGGAAGAGCTTTACCTGCATGCTTAAAGTGTCAGTATAGCAGGACAAAAGTAAGTTCCAGAACTATTCCAGTACCACTTGAATATATCTGAGGTATGGGTTGTATTTTTCACCTCATTTCTGAATTGTGGGAAATTTCATTGCAAGCACATGTTGTGGACCCTGTTCTCTTTCATGATTCTTTGCCTCAAGGGATTTAGATAGACTTTCTCTCATGTCTTCCAAAAACTCCATAGTTGTGTGCTTTATCCATTGTAGTCTTTGTGCTTCATTGTTTGAAATACAGCTTATTTTCTTGCATTACCTCCTTAGTCACCGATCAGTGTTCAGTGTTATATAGCACATTTGGATATTAAACAGTTGCAAAGGCTTTTTGGTCCTACCCCACATGTAGTAGCTCTTAATTTACGGAATAAGGCTTGTCCTGTCATTCTGCTACAAGACAGGCCTCAGATGCTGTGGCCCCCTCTCCCTGCCATTTCCTAGAATAGATTTGTTTCTGCTTCCCGTATATCAACAAAGCAGGTGAAGAGGAGAGCAGAAAGAGGGATCGAGATGAAGAGGAAGGATGGGGTGAGGAGGGCAAGGTGTCTCACGCAGAATGGGGCTGGGGTGAGGCTGTGGTATCAACAGCTTTTAGACTTGAGAAGAAGAAACTGAACTCTGCCAGGTCAGTTTTTATTTCCCTGAAGAGGCAGTTCTAGGAATTGCATCTTCAGGAGCTTGGTTTCCCCCCCTCGATCCTGGGTAGCTGAGACTTTTCCTGACATAGATAAAGGCTAGCATTAGAAAAACCTGATGCCAAGAAACTGGGATTGTGAATGAGCTTTCTTAATGTGACTGATACAGATTACAGCTTGACTGAAATCCATCTCATCTATTGCTGATGATTTCCTCTTAAGGATAAGCTTTTATATTATCTCCCTGTCACTTATATAGCAAAGTCCACCTAAACAGCTGGGTATCCATTGCTCAGTAGCTTTCGTTCAGGTCTGGAACTCCTGTATTTGTGTCAGTGCAGTATTGCAGTTGGGCAGATGGAAATGGAAGGTTTTGTGAATAGTGAAGCCATCTTGGGGTATGGATGAAACTTTTCAGAAAGGATTGCTGTAAAACATGTGTGGGGAGATTGCAGACAGACTGGTAAACTCAGTTTTGCAAGCTTACTTTTACTTCATGTTAAGCAGTAAGACTTCTTATACTTCAGAAATCTGTGTTGCTTGCTTTCTTGGCTGGCTGAACCTAGTCAGTTAATTTCTCAACTTCCAAAAATTGCCGATAGATTTCCTGTTGATTACAAAGTTTACTGTCATCTCTGCTGCAAGAGACTTGATAGACTGATACCTCCATCATGTGGGGAAAATGCAAACTGCATGATCTTTGCACGCAATTTAGAGACTTTAGGTTCGTTATGTCATGTACAACTCAAGCACTATATATAAAATGCTGTCAGTTATACTTTGTGAAAATGTGATCGTTCTTCGAAGTTCATACAAAAAAATGAAAGCTAAACTTCAAAGGCAATATGAGAAGGTTGTTATATATAAATAAACGCATGAAGCCATCTTCTAAAATTTCATCTGTGATCAACAGATCTGGAGCTTTCTGTAATTTTTGACAGCTTATTAAAAATTTGTAAGGATTTATTTTTTACTTAAGTATTGAGATTCATTATAATAATTTTGGAACTACTTAGATCTTTTGATTGAAAAAACAGAAAACCACAAGAAACTCTCTCCAGGTTTGTTAAGGAACTAATTGACTTCTCAGGTCTCAAATTGAGAGGGCAATCCTTCTTCACATGCTTTGTATTTTAAACATATCTGTTGCTTACTTGAGTTTGAATTTTAAGCAGTGAATTTTGAACATCACCTTGAGTTCTGCTGAGGCATTGGCAGTAGAGCTTGGGTATAAATCTTGTCATGTGATTGTCTCCTGTGGGGACAGGGGTGGTAAGAAGAAGGAAATAATTTCCTTCAACATGTTTTCCAAAGTAGTTAAACCTATTACTGTGATTTCCTTTTTTTATTTTTTCCCCTCTACTCACTTTGATCAGTGGAGTACTTTAAATATTAATATAGCTTGATTAGACGTTAATAATAACTGTTGAAATAAACTTGGGGATTTCATTTTCAGACATACACCATTACTGCTGGGTTTTTTTTTCCCTGAATGTTACTCAGTCTGGAGAGGGAGGAGTTTCAGGCAGTGAAGTTGATACTTTGGATACAGTGAAGTTGATATTCCCTGGAATCATTTGGTTTAGTTTGCTGACACAGAACATTTCCACACAGCTGTGTGCATTTATGCATTTGTAGCTCTTGTGGCCCTGGGCTGTGTTGGATCTATTGTACATGTGCAATACAACGGCCGTATATTTGCACAGTAAGTCTGCTGCGAGGGAAGGGGGCTTTGCTTCATCTGCATCAAAGACTGGCTGTGTGGCAGGGAGGTGCTGGGTAACACAGCCCTCTGCTCTTGCTCACTGGGAGATCTGTGGTGTGAACAACAATAAGGCTAAGCACTACTTTTGCAGAATGAAAGTTTATTCTTGAATTTTTAAGATGTAACAGCAAAAGAAATGTTGTAGTGTTAAAATAGTAAAACCAGATGGAAGTAATATGGAAGACAGCTGCTGTAAGATGTGATCTTTTTTGTTTTAATCCCCTTAGGTATGAGTTCTAGTCAGGGTGTATTTTGATTTCTGAGTGCTGTTCTCAATATAAGGTTTTACTTTCTAAAGTACTTCCTACTGATATATTAAGATTTATTTCTTTTAAAATTTCTACAGTGCCTACTTAAGCTGATAATTTGAAGTATATTTGTGAATCTGTACACTTTTGATTCTAGGTTTTATTTGTGTTTCATAACTGGTTGCATTTCCCTTCTTAAGTTATAATGACAAGACTAGTAAATTGGGCCTTTTTTGGGTACAGCTGCCTCTGGTGGAAGTGACTCCTTGCTTTCTATGGATGCGCATCTCTGACCACCCAAATTAAGATCCCAGACTTCTTTTCTGCCTTCCAGACTGTGATGTCCTGTCCTTTCTTACCTTTTCTATTTTTCCTCTGCTACAACATGTCACTTGTGCTCTGTTCTGCTGCCAAACAAAATAGACAATTGGAATTTTACCTTGTGTCACAGGTGTGGTCCTCGGCGCTGTTTCAGTGTCCTGGAGCAGAGGATACAGCTTCCACTTTGCTAGTGTGGGGGATGGTGACATAGCTCTGAACATATGCATACTTGAGGACTGCTGCATTGTCTGTCATTCAAAGTCTTTTTAAAAATAATTTGTATACACCATGAGTAATGTCCATGTTACAGTTCTGATAATTCAGTTTTGTTATTAATCAGATATCTCAGGTCTACCACTTCTGCTCCTTTACAGTCATCACTGAACTTTGAGAAACATTCTGAAAATTTTCCGTGGACAGAGAATCGTTATGAAGCAAATCGCAGAAGACACAACTCCTCAGATGGGTTTGATCCTAACATTGGACGGCCTAATGGAGGTATAATTTAGCTTTCATGGAACATTTTGAATACATTTACATCATTGCTTTGTAGCGCTCTAGCTAGAAAAAAGTCTGACGATACTAGCTCTCCTATGCTAAATTCTTATTCTGTAGTAAAATAGAGGTAATGGAAAGACAGATCTTCTGGGAGAGGATGTGATGACTAAGGGGTTGGTTAAAGTAGTGTGATTCCAGGTGTATTTCTCTCTTAAAAAGAATAAGAGTGTCAAGTTAATATTCTAGCAAACAACATATAAATAAGTAGCCAGAAAAGGAGGTTTACTTGTCTTAATGTTGAACGACAATTCTCTTTCTCTGGGACTGTTTTGTAAGATTCTTCCTTGGTGCTTATGTGAATGAAAACTTGTTTACTGTGCTATCACATCCCAGAATATAGAACCTAACTTCTCTAACAATTTTGCAAAAGTAGAGTATTCTTTTAAAATTGTTTATAATTACATTTCTTTAAAATTCAAAAATCTAAGGACATTTTGGGAGAAAAGAGAAGAATGGTTGGCGTTCACAAGGCAGAAATGGTACGGAAAATATAAACCATCGTGGAGGATACCATGGCGGAGGTTCCCGCCCTCGTGCCAGTGCTTTCCACTGTGGAAAAGGCCAAGGACTGCATGAAAACAATGTACCTGATAATGAAACTGGGAAAAAGGAAGATAAAGAAGTACCGAAACAGTTTGAGGCTGAGGATTTTGTAAGTTAATTGTAATTATAATAAACAAGGTTTCATTGTTTCTGCAAGTGCCATTTTGTCCATTACAAGCTACTTCATGAGATTTCACCAGTTTCAGATCATCATATAAGGGATCACCCTTCCCATAGGTAAGAGGGTGTTAGTCATTTGTCCACTAACTTGTTTCTCCTTTTATATCCAGTTTTTATCATTATATGTTTATTATTGTCACTTAAGTGTTTAAGTGAAACTACAGTTGGGTTCCAGTTTACTGTGGTATGTGTATGTATTAAGTTCTACACAATTACCTTACTGGAAATCTGAAGTACTAACAAAGTGATCTTCCTGTCAATGGCCTTTGAGATCCCATGCTTCAACCTAGAATTGTAGGATGTAAGAGGAAGGGTGAGCTTCCTTTTTGAAGAACCATACATCGCTTTGGTTTTTTTTTCCCTTTCCCTGGACAGCTCATGTAATAGTATTGACTGCTGCCCGAGATGTTTTATTGGAGAAGAGAAACAAGTGAGCATTGGCCTGTGTGGGTTTGCAGGGGAAAGTGTCTAGTCTGCCTCCATTTAAAAATCTTTGACAGCAGAGGTCATACTGCTGATATTAATGTGATTCTTTATTCCATTGGTCCCACAATTCAAGCCTTACTTTTTTAATAATGATAAAACTTTCTTTCAGCCATCTTTGAACCCTGAATATGAGAGGGAACCAAACCAGAATAAATCTTTAGCTGCAGGTGTGTGGGGTGAGTATTTTTGATGTTTTTAAATGTAAAAATGTAGCGGAGATCTGAAGTTGTTTAATTTGAAGCAGAGGATTTTTTTTTTAGAAATACAAAGGTATAATTTAAATTATAAAGGTATAGATTGAAATTGAGGAAAATTCAATATTGTTACAATGTAAATATCTTTTTGTTAGAGAGGTAACACTTCTATTTGAATATCAATCAATTGGTCTGTAGATGCAGTCACAACTAGGATTCTTTCTCAGAACAAATTTACGTCTTTTTTGTAAAGATGTCAAGAATTTATCTTCACCTTTATTTTCAAGAGGAAACTCAATGAAGGTGGATCACCTAAACTAGTGATGTGATTGCTAGCTGAAGACTTTGTAAAAGAAAGCTTCTGACTGATCAGAGCTGTTGGAAGAGTTTGGAGAGAAACATAGGAGGGCTGAGAAGAGCCGGTTAGCTTGCAGAGGTTTAAGGTCTCTTCCTGGAGAAGCAAATGTCATAAGCTGTTGGTTGTGTTTACGAATTACTTGTAACGAATCCAGTCCTGAGAACGCGCCTTGTACTGAACTGTAGTCTGGGACTGTTTTCTCATCTCTACCTGATTAAATTTGGCTACCACTTTAAAATTCTATGGGCTTTACGTAGTCAATTGTTCACCCTTAAGAAGGTGGCGGCTTTAGACTGCAGAGGTTTTAAATTAATAAACTTAACTCAAAATAAGAACCTTTATGAAGAAATAACTTTAATTAAACATAAAAGTTGCTACTTAAACTGTTGCTAATACTGAGATCTGAAACTTGTTGCTCATTTTAAATAATACTAAAATTTGCTGATTCTTTTTGTCGTACTTCCCTAGTATGTTTTGCTCTCTTAGGTAACACTAGGTGTAGACCAACCCCTCAATATAAATATCTAATTGCTAAGAACTTTTGCAGGAGCCTAAACAATTGGACTGCTTTCCCATTTTCTGTGTTTAGCAGCTTTCATGTGAAAGACAGGAAATACAGTTACGTTTCAATGAAAGAGCAACAGTAACTAAATTCTTTCCTAACCATGTTGGGAAAAATTACATAGCAATTCGAGTGTTTTACAACCTTTGCAGCACTCTGGCTGTGGCTGCTGCATGATGTGGCTCAGTCTGATCTGAAGGAAGGCAAGCTTTCCAGGCTTTTTGGATGTCACTTTTCACAAGCAGAGGAGGGAGCGGTTCTGTTAGCGACATAAAATCATAGAATGGTTTAGTTTGGAAGGGACCTTTAAAGATCATCGAGTCCAAACTGTAAGCTACAGTGCAGTGGCTTGTTACAGCTTACAGCTTGGTATCTTACTTTATTACAGATCTGCTATTGCAAACCTTGATTTGTAATTGAAAAACTGAAATTAAGGCTATTATTATTCGCTTTTAAAGGAAACAATATTCAGGACAGGAAGAATGTTACCATCCACTTCTAATGCCTGTTAGAAATGTATGCTTCTATTAGATTCCATTTTACCTTGTGTATATGTGATGAAAGCATGCAAGTATTGTGAAAAGTCTTCTCATAAAGTGTGATGAGACCTAAGTATACAGTTATGAATATTTTGTAACATCTACCTGCTAAACAAAGCTAAAGTTACTTACGCTTTTTAAGATAGTTTGTTTTTTTTAAAATGTGGGATATGGTGACTCTGCCCGTGAAGTAGAAATGCTTGCAGGGAGAGGAGATAATCTTGGAAAAGGCTGTTAATGCATCATTGGAATGAATATTATTTAGTATGACAGCTGTGACTATGTTTCTTAATAGTGCTCTCTTGAACATGGAAATGGTGTGAGCTTCAGATGTTCTGTTATGCCCATCTGAGGCATGGAGGTAGAGAAACTGGTCATTGCCGTGGTCTAGATTAGTGCACATCTCTTGTCTCATGTTTATAGAGCCTCAGTGTGGAGCATTTGGTTCTGAACTGAGCTGTATGTAAATATATGAGCAGTTATTCTTTTAGTAAAGAGAAATATGAAAACCATAATCTCTTTTGAAGATTAGGTAACTATCAACAAGTAATAGTATTTGGATTTTAGATTTGCAAACAAGAACTGTGTGGCTGGCTTCTTTGAAGAGTATCTTTACTTTCTGAAAGTAAAACTTCTGCATTGCCAAGTGCAATATTTTACAAATGGTGGTTGTAGAATGGAACAGAACCTGTGTTTATCCAGGTTTGTACAGTGTGTTATTTGTGGAACTAGTACTGGACTAAGTTCCTGACTTATGCCTGTTTGCTCTGGACCATATGGCTATCCAGTACCTTATGAACTAGAAACTCAAGATTGTATACACATGCACACACACACACATATATACACACACATGCTCTTGGTTTTTTTTTTTTTCCAGAATACCCTTTGAATCCTAAATCTAGATCTCCGAGAATGCTGGTCATTAAAAAGGGCAGTACAAAAGAACTGCAGATATCTGGATTCCCAGTAGTAGGAAGTCTTCATTCACAGCCAGTAAGGAACGGAACTGGCACAAGTGTTTATAAAGGATTAGTCCCTAAACCTGTGACTCCACCCGCAAAGGTGAGTCTTGGATACTGGTGGCATGAACAACATGCTGAAAAAAATCATGCTGTAATTCTGAATGTGCTTATTTCACCCATGAAGAGTGCTGTTCCTAGACTGTTGTGCTTTCAACTCCTGCTGAGCGCAGCACACTCCAAAAGTGAATGGAACCAACTTTTTCTTATTTTTATTTTCGAACTATGCTGCAGTTGGATCTGTTTCTCATTTACCTTTCTTGAGAAGTGCAAGAGCTGTCCAAGTGAGAGTGAAAAGGGTGTTTTTAATTTACAGAATAGCAATGCCTTTTGTAGATATGATTTTTAACAGAAAAATAGATACCTAGTGGAGAGGTACAGTCAGCATAAAAATACCTTCAAATTTATCTCAGTTATTGACAGAGATGATGTTGCAACCTATTAGTGTCATTCTGGTCCCTTTCCGAATGCACCTTGGAATCAACATGGAATGTTCATCTCTTGATTTTGTTTCAGGAGTTTTTCCGTGCTCCTGAGAGCATATCATGGAGTAGTTCTTAACTCTATAACATTCTACATCAAAAACAATACTTTCAGCTGTTGACAACTCATATTTTGATTCTTAATAGCTCAAATATGAGGGTCTTAATTGTTTTGCAATTTTAGTCTTTGTATAAAAAGTGTAAACAGTATTTATGAGTGGTTGAGTTGCTCATAAACAGTCTCTTTTCCACAAGAAAACAGGTGTTTGCCCTAAATTATGGTGGTGGTTATGATTTGCTTTTGCTTAGTCATTTTTCAGAAGATTCCTGAAAATAATCCTATTGTAGTTAATGACTCTTTACATTTCTGTTTAAATTTTTGTTCAGCCTACACAGTGGAAAAGCCAAGCAAAAGAAAATAAACTTGGGAATCCACTTCCTCATGAATCTGCATATGTTGGCAATTTCAGTCCTTTTAAATCAGCTGCCAAGGCGTTTACTGTATCACAAAATTCAGTGAAAGAGGTAAAGCAATGTCTGTAGTTTTTATCAAATCTATAAACTGTTTAATTTGGTTAGATAAGGTGATCAGTAAGTTTTATGCAGAATTGTATTAAATAATTTTTTTTGGAAGTTAATGTGTGCAAAATATGGAAGGCACTTCACTGGCTGTTAAGTACTGCACAGTTTGCTTTGTAGGTTTGATTTGGAGCAAAAATGGTGCACTAGGCAGTATAACCTGATAGGTTTAAACTTCAAAACTGCTAATGGCATGATACACTTCAGAAGGTCCACTGTTCATTAGCAGTGCTCTGTAAACCTGCATCTCTGGGTTTACATGTAAGAACTGTATATACTGAGATACAAATACCTTCTCTCTGCTTTTGGCTGTGGACATATGTGAAACCTGAAACTACGGGTGCCAGGGAGTCTTTTTGTCTTTCATTCAAAGTTTTCTAAATGAATAAACTTCTAATATTCTTTCTTTTTCTGACTCCCTACATTAGTGTAATCGGTCAAATTCATCCTCCCCTGTTGACAAAGTTGGTCAGCCTCGTTTAACAAAATTGGCAAGAATGAGGACTGATAAGAAGAGTGAATTTTTGCAAGCGTTGAAAAGGGAGAGAGTGGAAGAAGAACATGAAGACGAGAATCATGCTGGGCAAGAGGAAGTTAGTTTTGTTCATACCTACTGTAGATCCAACAGTACTGGTTTCTAGATGGACCATAAACTACTTTTTATTTTGCTGTAAACAGCTGTTAAGTCATGGTCTTGGGTCTCTAAATGAAGGAGAGGAATTACATTTTGGTGAATTTAATAAAGTTGTTCCAAGTACTGCTCCTCCTCCAGTGCTTCTTAGTAGTTTCTCTTTTTCTTTCTGCAGTATCTGTTCATACTTGTTAATAACTCGGGTATATCTGTGTCTTTATCAACAAGAAAAAGAATAAATTAAGCTTAGTATGCTAACCTAATCACAGAATCATGGAATCATTTAGGTTGGAAAAGACCTTTAAGATCATTGAGTCCAACCGCTAACCTAACACTGTCAACCACTAAACCATGGCCCTAAGCACCACATCTACACATCTTTCAAATGCCTCCAGGAATGGGGACTCAACCACTTCCCTGGGCAGTCTGTTCCAATGCTTGACAAGCCTTTCAGTGAAGAAATTTTCCCTAATATCCAATCTAAACCTCCCCTGGAGCAACTTGAGACCATTCCCTCTCGTCCTGTAACTTGTTACTGGAGAGAAAAGACTGACACCAACCTTGCTGCAACCTCCTTTCAGGTAGTTGTAGAGAATGATAAGGTCTCCCCTCAGCCTTCTCTTCTCCAGGCTGAACAACCCCAGTTCCCTCAGCCGCTCCTCATAAGGCCTGTTCTCCAGACCCTTCACCAGCTTTGTTGCCCTTCTCTGAACACACTCCAGCACCTCAATGTCTTTCTTGTATTGAGGGGCCCAAAAGTGGACACAGTATTCCAGGTGTGGCCTCACCAGTACCAAGTACAGGGGGACAATCACTTCCCTGCTCCTGCTGGCCACAGTATTTCTGATATAAACCAGGATGCTGTTGGCCTTCTTGGTCACCTGGGCACACTGATGGCTTATATTCAGGCTGCTGTCGACCAACACCCCCAGGTCCTTTTCTGCTGGGCACCTTTCCAGCCACTCTTCCCCAGGCCTGTAGCATTGCATGGGGTTGTTGTGACCCAAGTGCAGGACCTTGCACTCAGCCTTGTTGAATCTCATACAACTGGGTGCAGCCCATTGATCCACCTGTCCAGATCCCTCTGTAGAGCCTTCATACCCTCAAGCAGAACAACACTCCCGCCCAACTTGGTGTGGTCTGCAAACTTACTGAGGGTGCGTTTGATTCCCTCATGCAGATCATTGATAAAGATACTAAACAGAACTGGCCCCAGTGCTGAGCCCTGGGAAGCACCACATGTGACTGGCCACCAACTGGATTTAACTCCATTCACCACAACTCTTTAGGCCCAGCTGTCCAGCCAGTTTTTTACCCAGCGAAGAGTATGCCCATCCAAGCCATGATCAGCCAGTTTCTCTGGGGCGGGAAATGGTGTCAAAGGCTTTACTAAAGTCTAGGTAGACAACATCCATAGCCTTTCCCTCCTCTACTAAGCGGGTCTCCGTATCATAGAAGGAGATCAGGTTAGTCAAGTAGGACGTGCCTTTCATAAACACTGTGCTGGCTGGGCCTGATCACCTGGTTGTGCTGTACATGCTGTGTGATGGCACTCAAGATGATCTGCTCCATAACCTTCCCCTGCACCGAGGTCAGACTGACAGGCCTGTAGTTCCCCAGATAATCCTTCACACCATTCTTGTAGATGGGCGTCACATTTGCTAACCTCCAGTCAACTGGGACCTCTGTGGTTAGCTAGGACTGCTGATAAAGGATTGAAATTGGCTTCGTGAGCACTTCAGCCAGCTCTCTCAGTACCCTTGGGTGGATCCCATCTGGCCCCGTAGACTTTGGAGGGCAGTGTTTCATACCTTGAATGTTAGTTATCCTACAAGCCAATTAATTGAAAAACTTGGTTCTGCTTCTCAAACCATTTCTTTTCTAATTAGAGTGCTTAGCTGGAAGTTATCTATTCTTGGTCTATTCATAGGACCAATAGTTCAATTTATGCATATATAAAGAACCTGTGTTCACTTTCTAACTGAGACCTTGGAGGCCTATACCGTGTATATAATATGTGTCAGGCTTCTTTCAATATGGATCGGTTTATGCAGTGCTCGGCTGGCACCAGAGAATATTTGTGTCAGTGCTACCAGCTGCCAACGAGCCATAAGCATAGTTACCATACGTAGTCCAAGTGAAGGTAAGTATTGTATTATTCAGGATGAGGTGATTATAAGCCTGTTAGCTGTAAATGAGTGGTTTAAAGTGTTTTAACAAAACAATAAAACATCATAAATTAGACATCAGCCAGATAAATGAGTGGTTTTGAGGAAGGTTTATTTGGATTCAGAGACGTGAAAAAAGAAGGAGTGCCAGTGTGTATTGCTCATAAAAATAACATTGACTTCTCTGACCCTGTTCCTATCCAGGCAAAATAAAATTTGCTGTAATGGGACTGCAATTTAGCTGTATGTGTGAGTTAAGAAAGGTCTGCATCTTCCCATTACACATTCTGTGGCTGAGTACCCTTAGGTGGGTGTTGGAGGTAATGTTGTTTATGTGTGTTTAAGAAATGCACAAAGATTTTTATTTAAGATTAAAAAGATACTGGGAAACACTGTCTTGAGCTTCAGAATTCTGAAAATAGTATATGAAATTGGTGGGGGTTTCTGTTCCTGAAATTGTCTTGAGTTCATAATATCTTTGATACATACATCAAATGTATTTGGTTGCCTCATTGTGTGCAACTAATTTTCAGAAGCAAGTGTATTTAAAAAAAAAAAAAAGCTTTTAGTAGTGGGAGTTGTAGTGTCCTTGGACAGGGGTACATAACACAGCCTGCGGTACTTGTTGGTAAAGGCATGCTTCCTTTTCCCTGCCATTGCTGCTTCACTAACAGGTGTGAAAAGATGTTAAACAAATCCCATAACTAATAGTTGTCCTACTTCCAACATTCATTTTAATAATCATCAGTAGAAGACGTGTGTTCAGCTGAGTGGATGGGGAAATAACTGCACAAAAGGGTCTTCTATAACATGATCTTGTGATGGAATTTCAGGGCCTGCAGTAACAGATTTCACCTCTGAAATAACGAGGCAGATCATAATCAGCAGCTGAATCATGCTTGGGAGAAGCTATTTTGCCCTATATATATTAAAATAGTTTAATATTTTTATGAACTTTGATAATCTGAGATACATTCTTCAGGCATATGATTTAACAGCTGAATGTATGTTTACCGGGATACTTGTTCTTAAGAAATTGTTGCTGAGCATTCTAAAATTTCTGGAAGCAAACAGCACTGTGAGTGGGAGGGAAATTATGATGATGATGGTCTTGATCCTGGACTCTTGAAGTATTATTTCTTACAAGTGCAGAACTGGCTGATTGAGTGATTGTCTCCTGCTATGGATAATGCTGTTAAATGACCACTTTAGGGATTTTGTTGTCAAAAGGGTGTTAACTAGATAATGACTGTACTCTGGTCTCTGTTTTTATAGTTGGTAAGACTTCCAAGGCTGTTTGTCTCATTACTAAATAAGAATTACAGGTTGCTGAATGAGTAGAATAAAAAGAAATATCTTTGGTTTATAGGATTAAAGAGCTTTTAATATTTGAGCGAACCTGAACAGTCTCCTTTCTAAAAACTTTTTTCCTAGTTCTTATTTCATGGCTAGTTAAGTCACAGTTGCTGTTAATAACAGCCTGAGAAGCTGTGGTGAGGGCATGTGTGTAGGGGAAGCTGTCTGAATTTAAAGAGCAGTATCCAGTCTTTGTGAACTTGTGGCAGATGAATTTGCTGGTTGAGGTATGGTGGCTGTGACCTGCCCCTTACACTAAGTAAACTTGAGAACTCTGATGCTTTCAAACTTCTCCTGCCACACATGGCTGTGATATTTAATTGGGAACGTTGTTTGTAAGTTCAACAAATAACCTGTTATTTCTGTAAGTATGAAAGGCAGCTTAAATAAATTTGAATTTTAAGATGTTTGAAACTTTGTAGAAAAAAGTTTGAGGCAGAGCATGGGAGTTGCTTTCTACATTACTTGATCAGTGGCATAACTTAAGATTTCTGTAGTATCCAGGTATTGCAAACTCTAGGAATATGAACAGAATTACCCCCGAAGTAGTATAGAGTGTCTGCATTTAAACTTAATTTAAATTAAATGGAATCACTGAGTTGCAGCACTTGCAGACATTTACTTCTGAATGGAATTTACTTTTGAACTTTGTAATATATAATTATTTTTAACAGGATGATGAGTCCTTTAACTTGCATAACAGCAACAGTCCTCATCATGAGAGAGATATAAACCGAAACTTTGAAAATGAAATTCCACAGGAGAATGGCAATGCTTCAATTACATCTCAACAAATCATTCGATCTTCAGCTTTCCCTCAGGCAGATGTTCTTTCAAGCTCACTTGAGGCAGAGCATAGGTATGTACTTTATATTATATAAAGAGTGTTCCTTCATCGTAAGTGAGCATGTCACAAATTCTTACTAGTTCAGAAGTCGGAATCTGAAAACAGAACGCATAAAATGTTTAATGAGTACTGTCAACATTTAGCTTTCAGACATGTACTAATTTATCATGGAATACACTTTGTTTCTATTAGACTTGTGTACTGACTTAAACTTGCTTTACTAAAAATGTGATGTATTTCCTTATAAAGAAATAAAGCAAACTGCATAGTGACTTCATCCCTCTGATTTTTGCCTGCATGTCTAGGAGGAACAACGCATGTAATTGGTATTTGTATTAATAATACTTTAAATGCTGCATCTTACGTAAAACTCTAGTGAGTTTTCCCTCATTGTTAAAGTAATTATTTCTGTAACATACTAGTTGACACTGTCAGTGATATCACAAGACAATACATTGGAAAGGGAGAAAGTAACTTCAAAAAAGGATTGAAACAATTGTAGTATCTCTTAAAAAGTAATTGCAGGAGCAACTGGTAGAGATGAGAATGATGCTTCTGGGAAATCACAGCTCAGTCTGGAGATGAGCTTGTCATGAGCTCTGTCAGATTCTTACTGTTTCTGGAAACTACAGAATTGCAGTGATAGATTAGATAGGTGTGGGGGTTTAGGGGGCGTTGTTTTTGGTTTGTTTTTTTTTTTGTGTTATATTATATGTATACATTGGACTGGAGAACTTCCCCTTTTGTAGTACCTGAAGAGGAAACTGTCATGACCTCTTATCCTTCATGAGCGTGAAAAGTGAAATTCACCCTGCTCCTTTTTTTCCACCATTGGCTATGGAGGCAGAAATCTTTGGCCACTAGAGGCTGCTGATGACTATTTTTTGACTAGGAGATAGGAGGCAAATCTAACTCTCATTTTTCAATTCAAATGACTTTGAATGGCCTTCATAGAGTTTCTGGGCAAGTGTCTTTCCTTTGTTGCATCCCAGAGAAGCTGTGTCTCCATACTGTCCCAGCTCTTTGCATGTAGACAGATATTATGGTAAGCCTTTTTGTGGTAAATTGCACTTGAAGTGACCAGCTTCGCAGGATACTTGTGCATACCTAGTAACAGTATTGGCACATCTTGTACAAAATATAACTTGGGCTTTCCTGCTGCTGGGGAAGTTTCCAACATGCAGCCATCCTGTTGGTGTCAAGTTTGCTAATCAGAAGTTTAATTTTTTTACGTAGTTCACGCTTTTAACCATTCTGGAAGCCTAGTGTTGCTTTAAAGGGACCTGCAGTCCTGCAAACTTTAGACAATGTTGCTTAAAAGTTAATTAGCCATTGCCCTAAATTTTGTTTATATTAACAGGAACTCTGTAACTATTCGCTTTAGTGTACATAATACTGTTACCATCTTAGCTTGCTTGCAGTAAAACTTTCTAACTCAAATGACTGTTGCCAGAAATATAACCATTATTGAACTGCATTTGGCATTGCAAGTCTTTTTCTGTATGTCTATACAAATGCACTTATTCTCTTAAAAGAGAGTTTTGGATGACTTGCATATTATTTCTGCTGCTTCCTGAGGATTTAAGTGTTCTAGCTGTCACACTGTCCAGTTTGGTCCAAATACTACAGAGGATGTAAGCTCCATTTCTGTTACTGTCCTGTTGACTTCTTTTTTTTAAACAGAGTAGTGCTGTTCTCCCCTTCTCCTTCTACAATTCCAAGCTTTTATTTGGTTTTAGTAACAGTCATTGGTGTCATTGGTTACCTGCAAGTTTGCCCAATGCACAATCATTATATTGGGACCCGGAGGTCTTTGTGGGGAGGGCTATGTTGAAGGGCATTTTTTGCTGACATCTGGCTAAAGGGAGTACCTGGCACATGACATCAACTGTGAGTTCATCTTACTTCCCTGTTTTAATATATTCACAGTTCTTCAACTCTAAATGTCAGTTTCTTGTGTCAGTTCTGGCATATACTTTAGAACCCTTTTTATTTTTTGTGAAATAGTGTTAACCTCCTTTAACATTTAAGGTCAACAGGCACATGGTTTGCCTGAAGAAGGTGGTAATCCTTTTGGCAAAAACTTCACAGCAAGAGAACTTACTATCTTCATTGTTAAATGTCACGGTGTCTTCACCCTCACATAACCCCTGTTTTCACAGCGTCTTCACATGTAAACCCACTTTCTTCCAGCTCAGATACAGCTGTCCCACTTTTGGCCCTAGTTAAAACATGTTGATTACTGCATCTTTGGGTATCTCATGCTTAGTCACGAGAAGAATGTGTCTCTTCTTTCTTTTCCTCCCCTTGTGCCCATACTCACTCCTAGCTGTAGTCTGTCTCTGCTGAAATATCAGCATCTGCTGCTGGGTGAGACTCAGTTGCAAAGAAGCCTGTCCTGGCTCTGATATTAGCATGTGCTAGAAAACAGAAACCATGCGAGGCTATTGCATCCTGAATTGGTTCCCTTGGAGGGACACCACCTGTATTCCTCATGGCTGCTCTGCTATCCAAGAAAACCTGCAGATTCCTTCAGTGTGAGTCTTTGTCTCTTCATCCCGTTTTCAAGGGGTACAGGGCTGCTGCACCAGAGCAGTTATGCAAAGGAAATACATTCTTACTTTTCCGCCTGACACAGATTTCTTGCCTTAAAATGAAGGTACAGTTTTTACCACATGTAGTGGTAAAACAGGGTCATCTGTGAAGGACCTGAGAACTTCTGAGCTTCTATGCTTTATATATCTTTTGTAAAGCTTTTAACCTACTTTGACTTAGGAGTTTATTTTAAAAAATTGTGGACTGATTAATCTGTTTGTTACAGATCTTTACACGTATATGTAGGCAGAGTTTGAAATGTCTGAGTGTGCTTTTGTTGTCCTTTTAATTTAAAGGTTGTTAAAGGAGATGGGCTGGCAGGAAGACAGTGAAAATGATGAAACATGTGCTCCACTAACAGAGGATGAGATGAGGGAGTTCCGAGTCATTAGTGAACAGGTAACGCTAAGTTAATGTTCCATTATGAACTTGTAGTTTGCTATGCTAAATGCCTACCTTTGAGGAGGATCTGCAGTAATTTTGATGGTTAGGGATGTTGCCATTTCAGTACCATTTCAGTATTGTGCTTTTGGAAGAACAGTTGCTTTAAAAAGATAGGGGACCAGTGCTTATTGTAGGTAAGGCCTGTTCTCGAAATATCAAGGGAAGGGTAAGGGAGTGCTTCTGAGTACTTTCAGCATTGGTAGTAGTAGAACTGCACGGGCTTTCCAGCCCCTCAGCTTAGCCTGAAGAAAGGGAATTTTCTTTCAAGGTTTTTATGCAACCAAAATTTGAATTTTCTCTATTGGAGAGACGTTTAATTCACTAGTAATGAAGTCTGAGAAGGCAATCTAGGCTTGTTCGGTTTTTGTTTGGGGTTGTTGGTTGGTTGGTTGGTTTTTTAAATTAGGAGTGTTGCATATACCTGATGGCGTCAGTGAGGAGTAGCTGGAAGGGAGGGTCTTGTGCAATGTTAAATCTGAACATGTGATATTTCCATAAGCCTAGCCACACATGTATGAATTAGAGCGTTTGGAACTCTTAAATGCTTGGCTTACTGCCCAGCTTCTGCACTATGTGTGGAAATGCAGCATTTCCTTTCTTGTTGTAGAATCTGTCGTTTCCTTTCTCTCCGTTGTCTTTCACTTTCCAACTGCATCAGGTAGACAGACTGGAATACACATTCCTCCCTGCTGCTTCTCCTCTTCTGGGCCCCTTCCTTATTGCAGACCCTGCCCTTCTTAGCACAGATGTTTGCAGCACTGTGGAAAAAGGGACTGAATTACAGGAGAGACCATGTGGGAGAAGGGATCGCTGGGGCAAGACGTCCTAAGAAGTGGGTGAGAAGAGGGTGAGCTCTTGTTGACTGCAGGAGCTTAGCACAATTGGAGGTGCTTGGATACAGGTGGCTGGCCCAGAAATGAAGGCTCTCAGGGGAGTTTTCCTTTGTGAATATATGTGAAGAAGTAGTGCTGTGGATCTAATATAGCCCAGAGATGAAGATGCAGAGAATGTTGAAATGCAGCAGATTGTTGTGTTTAGCTTTTTCTTTCTCTAAATACATCTTGTTTTCTCATTTCAGTTACAAAAAAATGGCCTTCGGAAAAATGGCATTTTGAAAAACGGCTTCATTTGTGATTTTAAATTTAGCCCCTGGAAAAACAGCACTTTCAAACCTGCTCTGGAGAATGAGGATTCTGAGACAAGCAGCAGTGATACATCAGATGACGATGATGTGTGAAGACTTCTGTAACATCTATAGAAGCCTGTTTTGATCTCATGAAAATTTGGGGATGTGTTGTCCTGAAAAAATTTCTAATTTATGTAGTAACATACCCACTAGAGGAAGAATGATGGGACTTTTCTCTGAAGAATGTTGTGTTGGGTGTGTTGAAGATTACTATAATTTCTTTGTAAACAAATGTTGTAGAATGAGGACTTGGGTTGAGCCAGCATTGACTTTCCTCATCACTGAAGCATTTCTGACTAGCAATGTGACAATGTAACAAATCAGACTTTCTCATTTAATAATAAAAACAAAGAATTGTGTAATGTCTTGCAAAGCTTCTGTCTTAAAATGTCCAAGTCTATAAGGAAAAAAAGGGCAGCTTGACACAGTGTTTTGCTTGCCAAGTCATTTCTTTCTTACAATGGAAATCCTTGAGTCCACTTTGTACGCAAAAAGGGCAATGTAGCATGTTGGCTAAAATGAACAAAGTGCACTAAAACTCTTTTCCTTAATTGAGCTGTTGTACTGTTCTACTTCTTCCACACATAACTGCTCTTTAGCCATGTGTAGTGTAGGTGTTGTTATTAATGGCAAAAGACCCTGATGTTACAGTTCCAAATTCCTAGAACTAACCTTTAAATTGAAAGCTTTATGGGGTATTGCAAGACCCAGTGTTCTCACAGTCAACACATTTCTTGTGGGAAGATAAGCACTTTGATTTTACTATTCACATGCAGAAAAATAATTACACTGACTGGATTTGTCCGCTACATGGAAAATAAACTGATTTATGGAGTATTGTCTCAGTGCATAGCATCAAGGGTATTGTTTTTAAATCTGGTAAGTTTTGTTTGCATTTATATTAAATGTACTCTGGCAGCGGTGACTGCATTTCAGAATGAGGTAAAAATATTTTCATCACCAGATCTTGCTTTTATAGCAGCAGAAGTATACCTATGCAATGAGTACCTGTTTTGCTTTCTTTGCGTCAAACTTTTTCTTTATGATCACACACTTAAAAAACAATACTGTATTATCTGTAGTTTTATTTGGTTCATTTTAGTTCTTGAAGTATTTTCCACAGGGTTGTACAAGCTATGTAGCATTATTTCATAAGCACAACTGCTCTTGGTGATGTCATATACATTTATACCATAACTTTTATATATATATAGACTTCCCCCTTCAAGATATTTTTGAATTGTACTATTTCTTATAGGAAGTAATTTGCAATTTAGGACTCTAAAGCAAAAATATTTATAAAGCTGAGATTTTGTCCTTATTTAACTTCTTTAGGAAAAGACTTTTTTTTAATAAGGTGGCATCAATTTTGGGCTAAAGTTGGTATGGGGTTTTTTGTGGGTATTTTTTAATTAGTTTAAACAGAGATTGCTATTCAAGAGGTCAGTTTTTGTCTTGGAACAGGCATGCAAATGTTGATGTAGTTAATTTTGGCACAATGTATTGAAATACACCATTTTCTTGTCTAAATTTAAGAGGATAAAAATGTTTCTTTTTTTTAAAGAGAAAGCTGCCATATCAGTAATTTAAGTCTTTCTTACCTGTATGCCTTACACGCCCTTCTCCTTCCCCTCTCCTGCAGGTTTTTTTTTTTTACTAACTTTGACATCTTGGTGTAGTCTGTTCCTTTTCTGTTTTTCACATCCTATCAACAGGATCACCTGCCTATCCTAATTACTTAGTAGTATATGAATATGCTGTTTTTATTACTAAGTGAAAACTTTTTTGCATTGGCATTTCTCAAAGTAGGACGTAGACTTTCTCCCCACCCCCCCTTTATTCAGTTTAGTAACAAGTGTCACCTCTGTAATTAATCCTTTGGAAAGATACTGTAATTACAGAAGAATTGTGTTATAGTAAGTGTATAGACTTGGGAAATTTACAGGTTGTAATTGAGAAAATTCTCTTTAGAGAAAGTAGAAATAATACTTATACTTGGTACTTCCGTTTCGCTAGTTCATATCCTGAAACTGGTAACAGAAGCACTGGTTATAATGAGCTGTGACCAAAGGAAGTAACAGGAACTGAGCGATGGTTTTGCTTTGTAGAATGAAACACCTTTACAGCCTTTGTAACTTCTTTTTCATAAGTGTGTGGCTTCTTCTCTTGTATCTGCTGTGTTGTCTCTCTTGGCTCTATACACATGACATAATTACTCTGTTCTCCTGCTACATCGTGTTTGCATTTCTGAAGTCTGGCATGTTTGATACTTTGATTTGATGTTGTGCAGATGCATAACCTTAACCAACTGGTACTTGTGGATTCAGTTCTAGTCCTACACAGTGGTCTGTTCTGCTAGTTCAGAGATGTGTCAGAGGTCTGGATAGCCCCTAGCTTAAATGGTTGTCTGCCTGCTCTTACTTCAGTTTGCCCTTCACTGCAGTATGGAAGTGGGGAAGCTTTGATGTTTCTCCACTGAGGAATTGGATTACCTTATATTTACTTATGTCAAGGCTGAGTAGTGCATCGGTCCTCTTTTTTGCCACCTTAAGAAACACTTACTTTAGTCACTCACTGAGGAACTCTTTTCAGTTGAGGTTATGATTTTTATTTTCCTGGGAAATGCCACTTAAAAATTGGTTTTCATATTTTACTTCCATAAAATGTATAAAAACATTCTTATGCACTGTCCCCCTCCCCTTTGTTCAGTGCTTGAGGATGTAAAGCAGAGTGAAATCTGATTCTCTAGTATGTAACAATGCAACTTTTTCCATCTTTGACTTTTTTTTCCAGGGCAACTTTAGTAGTTCATTGGCCTTTTTCTTTTGTCGTACATAAACCATGATCTGTTCCTGGGATACATCCTCTCTTGTTTTTCTGCTTGAGCAGATTAAACACCGACAAGGAAGTCTGACTTAAAGGCTTAAGAAATTGGTGGATTAAGTTTGCCTATTCCCTTAGTAGGCTTTAGCAAGCTTTGGATGTTAAAGAATGTCTGCTGGAGATAGTTTGTCAGTGCTGGGCTGAAAGAGCTTGACTTCAATGATATTAGTCACTGATTGCTGCATGCAGACATGGCACTGCTGTAGGATTTGTAGTCACTGCCATTTCTCCTCTTCATCCTGTCTTTACTCGCAGAGAGCCGTATCTTCCCGGTTCCCCTTTCCGTCCTTCAAAAGGGCAGAGGAGTGATGAGTCACTCACTGTTTTTCTGATCTATCGGTGATGAGGGATGTGCCCTCTGTGCTGCTGGTATGGAGGGTACCTGTGTTTATGGTAGGGAGCTGAGGCTTCTTTACTTCATCTAGAATGACCAGTGGTCTTCCTCACTGACTTGTACAGGGCCCTTTTCTCTCTCAACTGGTGAGAGAAGCTACTTATCTTTCCTGAAAAGAGTGTCAGTAAAGTTGAGTACAGTAAAGTAAAGTAAAGTTAAGTAAAGTGAGTACAGTAAAGTTGTCCATTGATGTCTATTGGACCCAATCAAGATTCTGAAGTAGATTTTTGCTGATTGTCATCCCAGTCTTTGAGAAATGTTATCAAGTGTGAAGGAAGTTGGTTTTTGTTCTCTATGCAGTTGCCTGTGGGGGGAAGAAAGTCTGCTTTATTTATGGTGGGGACCTCAACTTTAGTGTTTCTTCTTTAAAGAATACCTGTTCTTCAGTAAATACGTTTAAACTGCTGGCTGCTAGAAATTGGAAGGAGAGTTTAGTCAGGGAAGTCTTTGTTTTCCCCTATTTTCTCTTTGCTGCTAGGCAGTGGCTGAGGCAGTTTACTCACCTGCAGGGAACTTTTGGTCTGATTAAGCGTTATTGCTTAATAATTAATCTTGTTGTGCACCAAGAGTTATTGGCTCGTTAGGATGATAAATGTGCTAACTAGCTGGTCAGCTTTTCTCATGCTGTTATTCATAGTCATCAGTGAGCTTTATTGCAAACTGAATGAGGTTTGTTTCGTTCCCTGGATCTCTCCAGCCTTCCCTAAAGGTAGCTGGCAATGCATTTCCTAAACCAGCACTGGCAGCGATTTGCGAGGCAGTCTGGCTCTTTGTGAGGTGTAGGTGTGTATTGAAAACTTTCTTCCATCTCTGGAGGTTTGTGCTTCCTCGGAGATTTGTAAGCAACTTTTGAGGTCTATGTCTTAGTGTATTGCCATCTAGGAAAGACCTTCAGACAGACTAAAGAAAAATTCACGCCTTCGACCTGTTGTCAGTACAACATACTGCTCTGTTACTGAATTCAGTGCCTAACAAAGCCTGCTTCTACTGCAGTCTCTTGTTCAGATCTGATCATCTGATGGAGATGTGAGGTCTTACAGGGTCTGTAGTGGCATACATTTCTTAAATCCCTATAAAGATACCTGAGAATATGCTTGCTATTTAGGCTTCATTCTGTATACATCTTCCTTGGACATCCTGTTAGTATGGAGCTATTTATTCCCCCGGCAATAGCATGATTGTTGTAGAGAAATGTAGATTGTTGTATGATGTTCCATACTTGCAGGGCAAATGCTCATTTACTTTCGTATCCTATCCAGGTCAAAGATACAGCTTTAAAGTGGGAGTATTTTTGGCAACTGGTATGATTGCTGATGTCCGGAGAAGCACTGCATATCAGGCTGATGGAGCTTGGGTCAATATGAGAGAACTTGAGTTCCCCTTAGGAGGTGTGGGGACATGACTGGTTCTGGTGGTACTAAGCAAGGCACTGCAGAGTTTCAGCTTGGGAGGCAAAGGAAAGCAAACTCCTTCCACTCTGCCAGGAAGCAGTCAGACTTGAGAACTGATGCAAGAAATTCCAAATGCTTATAAGATGAACTCGGAGCAGCCTGGTGGCCTGAGCTATTGCATTGTGCTAGATTGCCAGACTGTCTCTGTGCTGTCCTGAGTTATCATCTGCTAAGCCTATAGATTCTGAAACATGTCGCTTTGCATCAGGTACCAACAGACAGCTCCTGACGTGCTCTGAAGTCAGACAGTATCCACTGTTGCCTTAGTGTTCTCACACTTGGGTCAGGGAAGGTGATGTAGCTTTTACTCCAATCTGTTACTCAGTATAGCCAATGTGTGCATTGGCTCTGATGTGCAGCTCTGATCCTGCTTATTCTAGTATGGTGGCTTTGGTACAGTGGCTTCCTTTTGATTCTTATTCCTCTTTCTATGTGATAGCTGGATGTCTGGGAGCTCTGTGGTATTCTAATCTTTGCATCTTCCATCTTGCATTGCTTCCTGTTGCAAGACTGCTGAAGTGGAACCATCTTTAGCAAGTTAAAAAGCATCCTATTTGAGCTCAAGTGACTGCATCATAGACAGATGAAAAATGACTGAGCTTTGAATCATCTGGCATACATGTGCATACACACAGTTTGAATTTAATACAAGAGAACATTGTAGAATTGTTAGCAATAACTTATTTTCTATGCTTGCCATTTGTACCTGTTGGTGTTATTGGTGGCTCTTGTCACGAGTATTGTGTTCTTTCCTGCCCGGGATATACAGAACTTAAATTATAGCCAGGCTGAAAGGGCCTCTTCATCGATTAC